AGTCACCTGCCTGGTTTCAGGCAACGTGGCAGGGGTGGGGGCAGGGAGGTGCTGAAGCTGGGACACATCACAATGGGGGCCGGGGGTCCAGGCACAGCCAGGAGCGGGTTTTGCCTGTGACGGTCACAGGTCCAAGCAGGGCTTCCTTCTACAGCGCTGTGAGCCTCCAGGCCAGGTGTCCCCCAGGTGTGGGAGGGCAGAGGTCCTGGCCAGGGCTGCTGATGTCTGCATGTACCTTGATACTGGGGAAGCTGAGACTGTGGACATCTGGACCCTCCCAGCAGGATCTCTTTGAGGCAGGGACCATATCCCCAGTTGAGTAGATTATCCCAAATCCGAGGGACTTCAAGTGAGACTGATTCAAATCTAGGCTCTACCACCTACTTGCTGTCTGACCGTAGGAAAGTCACATCCTGACTCATCCTTCCGAACCTGTACAATGGGCACACACATTCGTGCTGGGTAAGGCCTGTGTGTCTACTTTACAGGGTTGTGATGAGAATTAGATGGGAGTCGGATGAGGCCATGGATTCTAAGTGTTCACATCGCGCCTGGCTGTTGGCCTGCCTCGGGGGAGGGTGGTTACTTCACACGCGGCCCTCTCTGGCTGGGTGTCAACACACACGGATTCTCTTCCCAGTGCTTGAGTGTGAATGAGGCTTCACAGGGTGCAGGTAGACCGAGGCAGCCCCAGCACCCGGGGCACCTGGAGGGTACTGGGGCTCCCACGGGCAGGGCCTGTGGTCAGCGCCCGGGAAGGGCCACATCTTTCGTGGTCCTGCAGCAGCCTGAGGGGCCAGGAGCTTCCTGGCTATAAGATTGTCAGGGGAACGCACTCGTTCAGCAGGGAGTATCGCTGGGAGGGCTGGCTGTCGAGGCGGCAGGACCTCACCCATGTTCCCAGGCGGGCCGGTGGGGCCAGGTGGCACCTTTGCACCTGCGTCACAGCTGCCCGCTGTCTGGCTCTTCCCGAGGGTCCTTACTCAGACGACAGGGGGCGTCCTCGGCACCCACTGGTGCCAACGGACCTGGGCCTCCCGCCGGCCGCCATGACTCCAGTGCAGCAGTCCCCGAGCCGGACCGTGCTCAGCAAATTTAATCAGTGCTGAAAAGCGGCTTATTTGGCAAGACGGTCAGTTTTTAACCTGGGTAAACGACTTTCCTGATGACCATAAATTAAGCGCATTATATCTCTTCGCGCGCCGCGGCCGTCCCCATAAATACCGCCGGCGCCTGCTGGTGGTCTCCCTCGGTTACCTTTCCCATCACGCTTCGTCGCCGCACTGGTGGGGGGGCTTCATTCTGTGTCAGCGACGAGGAGGACGTGGTGACCACACAGGGTGTGTTGAATGAGGAGCCCGCCCCCGGGCTGGCGTCTACGCGGCCGGGGCTCAGCCTCCAGGCCTGTCTCTGCCCGGGTGTTCGCAGCCCTCCCGGGGGCCGCTGTCAGCGCCTTCCTGAGGGGCCCGTGCAGGGTTCAAAGCTGTTCCGTCTTAGTTGGAGGTGATTGGGAAGCAAATGTTTGCTGGCAGCCAGCCTCGACGCAGGAGGGAAGCTGAGTGTTCCTGACAGCCCCACGGCCACAGGTGGGCACAGGTGTCTTCTCAGCGCCGACCCCTCGGAGCGCAGCCCGGGGGAGGCCGTGGGCGCCGCAGCTGCAGGCAGGTCAGTGGGGGCATCCGATGCCCCGTGCGGGGCTGGTCCTCAGGGGTGTTCGCTGCGACCTGGGCACACCGGGGTTTCAGCGGAGAGGGCTGGGAGAGCGGGTTCTCCCCGTCCGCTGGGAGCTGGCTGTGTTTTGACGGCCTGGGCCGGATCAGGCGGTCTCTGCAGCCCCTTCCTGCTCCGCCTCTCCAGCTTCTAGTTCCCCTTACCCCAGAAGGCCCCTCCTGGACACCTGTCCCCCTTCCTACCTCCGTCCCTCCATTCACTCCACCCCCTTTGGAGGCAGCAAGGGCAAAATGTACCTTCTGAAGGTCGCCGCACATGGGCCCCCACCCCTCCCCATCCTAGCCCCTCCCCTGGCTTTTGAGCCGCATTAACGCAGCCTTAGGGAGATCAGCTCCTAAAACCCTCAGGTTTCTTGGCCGGGCGCAGTGGCTCACACCTGTAATCCTAGCAATCTGGGAGGCCAAGGCGGGAGGATCGCTCGAAGTCAGGAGTTCAAGACCAGCCAGAGCAAGAGCGAGACCCCATCTCTACTAAAAATAGAAGGAAATTAATTGGCCAACTAAAAATATGTATAGAGAAAATTAGCCGGGCATGGTGCCCGAGCATGCCTGTAGTCCCAGCTACTCGGGAGGCTGAGGCAGGAGGATCGCTTGAGCCCAGGAGTTTGAGGTTGCTGTGAGCAAGGCTGACGCCACGGCACTCTAGCCCGGGGAACAGAGTGAGACTTTGTCTCAAAAAAAAAAAAAAAAAAAAAAATTCTGCAGCAGTATGTTATAAAAATAAAAAAAAATAAAAAAATAAAAAAAACCCTCACGTTTCTTAGCACTGGAGAGTCCTGGAGCCACATGCGGGCAAAGGCACAGCAGCTACCTGTGCGGCCTCCTGAGGCTGGACCGTGGGCAGGGTGTGGGGCAGGCACCGCTGCCAGGACTCAGAGAGCGGACACTTGGGCGCGAGCCGGCAGTGAGCACTGCAGCAGAAACGGCCCCAGCGGTGTGTTGGAGCTGATTCAGCCCAAGGGAGAGAGACGTGGGGGACGCCGGGGTGGGGGCCGGGGGTGCAGCTGGAGAAAAAGCCAGAAGCAAACTCCAAGAGGCGAGAGCCGAGATTCCGCCTCCGCTTCTCCAGCGGGGTGGTTGGCGGTCCCCGGCCAGTCTGCGCAGGAAGTTTATCAAAGCAGGGTCCGACGGCAGCGCTGTGCCTGGCCCTGTCCTGGGAACGAAACAAAGGCTGATATTTTTAGAGCCGTGTTAGTTTCTTCTGGGAGCCGCCAGCACTTTCCGGGATGGCCCGTTTCCTAACAACCCAGGAGAGTCACGCTGATCAAGCACGCTGCAGCGGAGCGGCAGAGACGTCAGGAGCAGGACCGCCAGCCCGGACCCCCCACCCCGCCCGCCGGGGCCTCCCTCCCTCCTCCCCCCTCCCGCCCCCACCGCCGCAGGCTTGGCGGGAAGGCGGGACGGCGGGAAGGCGGCAGAGGGGCACAGACGCCCGCGGCCTTCACGGCGACACGCAGACAATTAGCAAAGTGGATAAAAGAGACTCGAGCCCGCCTAGGAGCTGCGCTTGTGCGCTGCTCAGAGGTGCTTTGACCTTCTAGTTTATTAGGATTCCAGAAAAAGTCAATACGTCTTAGCTCGCCAAGGCTGGAGGAATTTAAATGAACCGTTGAATCAAGCAGTTAATCTGCCAATAACTGATTTTTTTCCCTTTCAAATCTACATGATGAAAAGCAGACTTAACCAAAAACAAGAAAACGAAGACTTTTTTTTTTTCCTTCGATATTTTGATCCCGTGGGGGAGGAGGAAGGGGCTGAAAGTTCAGCCTTGAGGACCAGGGCCGAGCTGTCTCGCGGAGCATCCCGGCAGGGATTTGATTAGGACTTGAAGCGAAGTCTTCTGTGGCCGTAAGATGTGCACGCACGTTTTGATCATTTGTGTTCGGAGGTCCCCGTGTAATTCCCAGCCTCCCATGTGTTGCCGGGGTGACGCCTGCCAATCATCCCGCGCTCTGGGCGCCGAGGCTGTCTGGCCTTCCACTGGCCTGCGCCTTTCGGAGATCCCCGCCGCCCGCGTCACTGGTGCTGTCTGGGGACCACAGACCGAGGTCACCGTGGGTGCGTGCTGGGTGCAGGGGACCAACAAGCAGCGTGACGGCCGCCATTTCCAGGGCCTTCCTGCCCACAGCCACACACCGCGCCAGGAAGGACTGGACAGAGGACAGGCCGCCGGCAGCTCTGCGGCCATGTGCGCCGTGCAGCGCCCTGTTCTCGCCGAGGAGAAGGCCAGCCTCCGGCCTCTCCGCATTAGCTGTCCCCCACCCCCATCCCAAACACCGAGCACTGCTGTCTTCTCAGGCCACACTTCCTCCCTGTACTCTGCCATGGCTCCCCAGTGCCTGCACGGTCCTGTCCAGACCCCTCTGCCTGGCTCTCTCAGTCTCCCAGGACCACACCTCGCCTCCCCCGCCCCCACCCCGTGCAGCACGTCTGGTCTCCCACAGAGGCCTGCGGATGCCACCTGCCAGGCCGCTTGGGCCCGAGCCCCCTGCGTCTCTGGGAAAGCCCTCCTCCTCTTCCTCTCCACCTCCAGGACCCCTGCCCCCACTCACCTCCCTAAGCAGCAGCCCCGTCGTGGCTCCTGCAGCTCTTTGCCTGACCTTGCCTGGTGGCCCGGGCCTCACTCGGTCTCAGGTCAGCGTTGCACCTGCGTGGGTGCCATCACCCTACAGAATGGCGGGGTCGGAGGGAGGCTTGTTCGGCTCTGGGACCCCGAGGCTCCCAGCCCACAGCCCGGCCGGCCTCATCGCGGGATAAAGGAACAGAGGGAAGGAAGGAAGGAGAGGGAAAGTCCTCGAGTTTTTGTAGAAAGTCCTGGATTTCCGCAGGCTCCTCAGTCCGGGAGGCCGTCTCGGGGCCAGGTGACAGTGGTGGCCGGCTTTGCCCTCTGCTGACAAGAAGGGCCTGTGTCTTCACTTTTCAGTTGGCAGCAGGGACAGCGAGCCTAGGGAAAAGCCTACAAGGAGTTTATCCGAAGCCCTCCCGTGGGTGCCGGGTGGGCGGGGTCGTGCCTGGGGTGTGCAGAGTGCGTCAGCCGCGAACCTGAGCGCCGCGCAGCGGGACGCCCTTGGACACCCTTCTCCGTAGCAGTGGGGGCCTCTCGCTGGAGAGACAGGGACTCCATCAGGGACCCCAAGCCCCGCAAGCCCCACCTCGGGCAGCCTCAGTTTCCCAGGTGGATGGAACCTCTGCTCGCGAGCCCCACGGGAAGCCTGCACCCCCTGTCCCTGAGCCCAGGCAGCTGATCCTCCGTGTTTGTGTCCCCGGCAGGGCGTTCCGGCCACAGCGGGCTGCCGGCCGCCTGCGGGAAGACGCTCTGCGGCCGGGGGAGCCGGTGCGTGCTGGTCGGCGAGACGGGGCGGCCGGCGTGCCGGTGCCTGGAGGCGTGCCCGCCCAGCTACCTGCCCGTGTGCGGCTCCGACGGCAGGTTCTACGAGAACCACTGCGAGCTCCACCGCGCCGCCTGCCTGCGGGGGGAGGAGGTCGTCGCCGTGCACAGCAAGGACTGTTTCCTGCAAGGTAGGCGGACGGCTCTTGCCTTTTGGTTTTAATCTTCTAACACGCTTCCGACGGGGGCCTGGGTGCTGAGTCTACGGGTTGCACGTGGTAAAGGAAGTAAAGACAGAGAAAGGCTAGCATGTGAGGAAACGGCCACGGTGCCATTTCAGTGACGTGTTCTGTCCGAATCCAGGGAGGTCGAACTCAAGCCTGGTTGGTGCAGCCCATGTGTTATCAGCGACCAGACAGCAAGGCATCCTCCTGGTCTGCACACACGGTGGCCCTTGCAGGGTGGTGACCGGGACCCTGGTCACCCCTCTGGGCAGAGTCCCACGAGTCCGGAGGCCACACTGTGCAGACCGTGGCCACACACACAGCAGCGCAGTGGTTCCCAGCAAGGTGGTGACACCAGCTCTGGCCCGGAGCAGCTGCCGGTGGGAAAGCTTTCCATGCCTCCCCTGTCCACGCCCCGAGCAGGGCGGGAAGCCCCTGCCTGGACATGGCGACATGTCATGGAGTTGGCACCAGAGCGGCCAGGCTCCGTGCTGGGGTTGGGTCAGAGGACAAGGGCAGCGGCAGCTCCCACTTGATGTGAGAGCTGCAGGGTGGGGTTGTGGCTGCCGCACACGCTCGAATATTCCCCGCACCTAGCGCGGAGCCTCGCTCCAACACGGACAGGGCAAGGCGGCTCGCAGACACTCAAGGATGCAGGCGTTGGCGCACATTCTTGTGCAGACGTGGCCCTAGTAAATAGCACATGCCACAGCCCGCAGAAGTATCTGTTACCCGGAAAAAAGTGGGCACCCGTGAGTGAATCAGGAAACGCACAAGGCAGAGCGGCGTGTGGGCAGGTGGGAACGGCCCACAGAGACGGAGCAGGGACACTGAGGCGGGCGGGCCCACCTGGGCTTGCGTGAGGCCAGAGACCTGCTTTGGGGTGGGGCGGAGCAGGGGGACGGGGCTGGGGAAGGAGACCGGGTCGGCGCCCGCCACGCCGGGAGGTGAGGGTGCCAGCGCGGTGGGAGCCGTGAAGAAGGGCTGGCACAGGTCGGGAAGGACGGAGCTCCAGCCTCGGTCTCCCAGGCCCCCAGCCTGAGCACACGTGACGCGCGACACACATGTGCACATGGGTACTCACGGCTTGTAGCAGCGCCGCAGAGGCGTGCTGGCCCCACAGCCCCTGCCCGCGCCGCCCGCGCCCAGGCAGGGCCGCTCCCCCACCTCGCACTCCAGCCAGGCGCGGCGGCGCGGGCCCGGGCGGGCGAGGTCCGGAAGGGCGCGTGGACCCGCGCCGCGGCCGTCCTGGGCACTCTCGAAGCCGTGCTCACGACGCGAGCGCCCAGGTGCCCGGAGCCCGCGAGACCCGAGGTGCCAACGGGGCACAGTAGCCGTGGCAGCGACACCCCGCTGGGCACACCGCCGGCGCCACCTCCGGGTCCTCAGCAGCCACGAAAGCGCTCGCCGCGCTCCGGCTTTGTGGGCCGCGGTGAGTTCCATAGGCGGATGCGCCCCTCTCCGGTGTCCAGCGTCCCCCAAACCGCGTCTCTGCGTCAGCGAGTGCGCGGCCTCCCCCGGCACCGGCTGTGCACGCGGCCTTTCTGGGTTCCCGCGAGGCCCCGGCCGCTGTGGACCCGCCGGGTGAGCTCGCGGGGAGCCGGAGCACAGCTGGGGCCCAGGGCACGCCAGGGCCCAGGTCTGCTCCACACGGATTGGATTCATCCCCCAATCCTTCGGGGTCGCAGGGTCGTCACCGCTTGCGTGCGTTCCCACCCGCTGCGTGCGGCAGGACTGCGGTCCCCGAGACCCTCTTCCCTGTGGGCTCCCGGGGAGACCGAGGCCGAGTCCCAGCTCTGGACCCCTTGCGAGTGGCCGGGGCGGCATCGCTCCCCTGTGCCAGGCCGTCTCCTCGGCCGCGGGACGGTGGCCGCCTGCTCCTGCGTGGGCGGCGTGAGGGGCGCCGTGCACACTCCTCCCCGCCCGCAGTGGCGCGTGACGGGCATCCGGGCGGGCGGTGTTAACCACACCTGCCGCCGGTACTTCCCCACTGCAGTGTGGCCGCAGGCCTGGAGCAGAGGGATGCGCAAGCTGCAACAGAGACACAGGGACCAGGGCTCCACCCAGGAGGTTTGGGGGACAATTCCGGTCCTAGGTGGCCTCGTGGTAGACGGAGGGTGAGCGAGGAGGATGCTGAGTGTCAGTCAGACCCTGGAACTGTCCTGCAGGGGCCCACTCGGAGCTCGGGCTCCTTTTCTGTAGAGGGCCCCGTGGGTCTGGGCGCCACAGAGAGGCCTTCGGAGCCGTAGGACCAGGGTCAGCTCCAAGGTGGCCAACTGTCCCTCCCCCGGCACGGCCATGAGAGCCCCCGGCACACGGTAGCGGGGCCCTGGCAGCTGGGGGGCAGGCCCGCCCACGGAAGGTGCTTGGGGTGAGCACTTCACCGTCGCCAGAGCCCCGGCTCCAGCAGGAAGCAGAGCAAACTGGTGGCAGCAGCTCTGTTCAGAGCGGGCCAGGGAGGTCCGAGGAGCACGGAGCACCCTAGAACAGCTTCCCACAGTGCGCATCCCATGGGGGCAGCAGAACATCTAACTCCGGCTTGAGTCCCACTGAGGACAATTTGTCACATGTCCCAGATTTCCAGGGAGTTCTTAATACAGAATACAAAACCACTTTTTTTCCCCATGCAAACAACAACTCTAAAATTGTCTGTCTTCTATTCTCTATGTCTACCAAATGTTACGAAGAGAAGTCATGACTTCATTCTCTGGGACTTTCGTTGCCCCCGGAAGTGACCACGAGGCCATTCCTGTGGGGCTGGCGTGTGCAGAGCAGGGGGCAGAGGTGGCAGGTCGTGCCGGCCGTGCCACCGCGGTCTAGAGCACCCCTTCTGCGGCCAGAGCCCCTGCGCCCCGGCGGGGAGGGTCGCTCCTGAGGATGGCTGGGACCACACGGCCCCACCACCCTGCAGGGGAGAAGAGGTGGCATTCTAGCCCCTTTTACGAGAAAACTTCCGGTAGCACGCTCCAGTTGCCATGGTGATGGGACTCCTTGTGCGAGCAGATGGAACATAATATCGTTTAGGGACCCTTAGCGTGTGTGGAAATCAAACTGAACTCAGCAGCGTCGCTTGGCCTGGAGTTTGCGGCTTTGGTCCCAATCTCTCGAGTCACGAGGGCAGGGTCTCCCCCAGCCACGGTCGGGGGCGAGAGCCACGTGGGAAAGATGCCGCATCTCTTTCTTCTTGCGGCGGAATCGGCACCAGACACCACCGAGAGAATACCCGGGTGCTGGGCGGCAGCCGCTGTTTAACTTCTCACCGGGTTTGTGTTTGCAAAGTTACCGTGTGACGTCACGTTCCGATTTCTGTGTCGGTGGACACTTTTACGTTGTTTTTCTGGCTTGTTTTGAATTGGCGCTTTATCTCCTGTGCTGCTCCAGGGCTTGCCTTCCTGCAAGGGCTCACCCTGCCAGGGTGGCGTCACACCAGATGATGATGCAATGTCGTAGTCGGGCAGTTTTCCCAACAAACCGTGAGATTCTGGGAGAAAAGAGGCTGTCAGAGGTGCAGTCTCAAGTGGACCCTTCAGCTCCCTCAGCCCGAACAGCGTCTGCAGGTGCATCGTGGCTCTTCTGCGGGGCGCCCCCAGCTAATGAGACCAGAGGAAATAACGTCCCTGCGGGGAGACGGGAATTGAACATACCACAGGCTCACTGGCAAACCTTTTTTTCCTTAAGTGTTACTCAGCAGGCGTAAAAACTCGACACTTTGTTGCAAGTTAGCAGAGCACACCGAGCCAGCTGCCCCAGAGCCCTCTACCCCGCTTTCTTCTTGTTGTTATTTTGTTGCTGTTGTTACTTTGAATCTTGGTGCTTTAGGGACTTCATTAGGCCCCCCACCTGCCAGGGGCATTCTGTGCTTCCGCGAGTCTTTTCTGCCTCGCTGGGGAATGCTCCGCGCGTGCCCAGGTGTGTGGACGCAGCCCAGACCTCAGCCCGAGACTCGGCTTCCGGGGATGGGCGAGGGCCCGGTGCGGGGCTGGGGCGTTGCCAGGCATCGGTAGGGGGCTTCGGGTTAACTCTGCTACAGCTGGGCGCTGCCTGAGGGGACATCAGAGAGGCCAGGCTGGTGGGCAGTGTGGCCCGTGCTCAAGGGCACTGCTTTGGAATCGGTCATGCATCCATCCTGTGCCGCCTTAGACAAGGCACGCAGAGTCTCTGTGCTTCGCTTACCCATCTGTAAAATGGCAATAATAACAGCACCTACCTCGTAGAGCTCCATGAGTGGGAAACAAGCAGTGCCTGGTGTGTGGTGAGCGAGGAGGAATGTCACAGCTCCGGGATGGTGGCAGTGTCATTGTAGACATCGTGGCACTTTCTAGGGGCAGGTGCAAGAGGCTGTGAGACCCTGGCTCACTTACCTCACGTGCCGGGCGGTATGGACTAGCGGTCGGGGTGCCAGGCCCTTCTGTGAACCGGGGGGAGAACATTGTCCTCCAGGCTTACTTAGGGAATGACTAGACCTTGACCGACAGTTGATCAGATTTGATGATCACCTTGTCCGGCTGTCTTACTCTTTGAAAAGGGATGTCATAAGTCCCCAAGTCCACCCAGCATGCCGATGGGGGAGCAAGAGGAGAACCAGGCGTCTCTGGCCCCAGTCTGGACAGAGTGACCGGACCCGTGTAAGGCTCTTGCAGAATGTGAGCGGAGCCTGGGGGAGGAGTGATCTACCTTAGATGGAGAGAGGGGTGTTCAGAGCAGGTGCAGGGGAGGCGTTGGAGGTGGACCTTGCAGGGCAGGGAGAGTTTGCCAGGTTGGGAGGGTGGGGGAGGGTTTCTCCGGGTGCAGGCATGAGGCACCTCCTATCTCAGGGAAGGGCAGATGGCCACATGCAGGTCCTGGGAGGGGAGGGGGGTATCTGCGGGTACGAGGAGACAGGTGGATCATAGCGCGCTGGGGAACACGGCCTGTGAGCCAAGCGAGCAGGGTTTGAACTCAGGCTGGCCGAGTATCACCATGAGTTA